GGGGTTTGGGGGTTTGGTGGTTTAGGGTTTAGGGGCTTTGGGGTTTAGGGTTTTGGGGTGTAGGGTTTAGGGGTTTTAGGGGTTTTAGGGTTTAGGGTTTACTGGCTTAGGGGTTTAGGGTTTAGGGGTTTAAGATTTACGGGTTTTGGGTTTTAGGGAGGTTTAGGGGTTCGGGGATTTAGGGTTTAGGGGTTTTAGGGTTTAGGGGTTTAGGGGTTTAGGGGTTTAGGGTAGGGGTTTAGGGTTGAACCCTTACGAAGGGCTTTGGGTTTCGGGTTTCGGGTTTAGGGCTTTTGGGGTGTAGGGTTTCGCGGTTTAGGGCCGGGCTTAGGTTACCCCAAGGAAGCGACCAACAAAATTGTCAAACTCCATACAGCTTAAGGCCAACAAGCACTAAGGCCGGAGCGTTAGCCCTCGTGCCTTTTAGATCCCTAAACCCGAATCCCTAAAGCTTCAAACCCTAACCCTGAACTTCAAACCCTAAAGGCCCCTAAAGCCCTAAACCCTAAACCCGGAACCTTAAACCCTAAACCCTGAAATACCCTAAAGCCCCTAAACCCGAAACCAAAGCCCTGAGGCCCCACCGAAACAGATTTCCCAGAGCCCCTTAGAGCCCTTAGCATAGGACCAGAGCTTCAGGGACCCACAAGCTTTGGGGGCAGTCGGCCCCAGTGAGACCGGCTTATTGTGTCTTTTTGTGGGTTTTGGTTTGAGGTTTCGGTTTTAGAGTCCAGGGTTGAGGGTTTGAGTTTTAGGGTCTAATGTTTCACAGTTTTAGGGTTTGGCGTCTAGGGCTTCAGGTTCTTGGTCTGTGCAGGTGTCAGACTTACCTGCGGGATCCAATGATTCTTGCGGTGTCTTTGTTAGAGTAAAGGGCTTGGACCAACTTGCACTGACTCCAGGCTCGTCTACCCGTGCCCCAAGGGCTGCGTGGCCACTTGGCCACACTTTGCGTTAGGCTCCAGTGCAGGAAGTCAGCTCTTTTGCGTTGCGCGGCAGAGGTCCGAACAAATGACAGGGTGAAGGGCGCGGGCAGCCCGTCTTTGTGCATTTCTACTTTGTCAATGTCCATGGCTTGGTGAGTCCACATGCCAATTAGATCGTGAGCTACAAGTTGGCAAACGCTCCTATCCGATGCATTTAAAACCCTTGAACTAAACTATACTAAGCCAAACTAATCTATGTTATCTATATCTAGATCTCTTTGTATCCGTATCTGCATCCATACCTGATTCTATATCCGTGACTATACATAGCTATACCTGTATCTGTATCCTTGCCACTATCTCTATCTCTGTCTGTGTCTCGATCTTCAGTGCATGTGTATATATGCACATGTATATATATATATATATATGCACATGTGTATAATAGGTATGTATGTATGTATGCATGGATAAATGTACATGCTTATATACATACATACATATATATATATATATACGTATGTATAAACACAGATACGTGTATTTACATGTAAATATACATGTATATGCATAGGAATGCGCATATGTCTACACGCATATAATATACATATGCACGCACACACACACACACACACACGTACATACATACATACATACATACATACATACATACATACATACATACATATGTACATACATACGTACATACATACATACATACATACATACATACATACATGCATACGTACAAACAAACAAACAAACATACATACATACATACATACATACATACATACATACATACATACACACCTGCACACATAGACACATACATCAATACAAGGTCAGTATTCTGGACGATCACGCTTGGGGAACCACGGAAAAAGGCAGCTTTCAACTGTGATCTCCGAGGAGGAAGGATCTATATGCGAGCCTTGTGCTCCTGGATTCTTCCGTGCCGCCGACGGCAATGCATGCCAGAGGCCACCACAATCTACTACTGTAGGGTCTTGAGGTTCAGATTGTGGGTTGTTGACATGCATGTCGTGGCTTGAGCATGAGGTTCAGTTGTTCTTCGGGAAGCATGACATGGTCTGCCGGTAATTAGGCTTATCACTGCGAGGACTCTGGTATGTGCACGACCCAAACGAATCGAAGGTTGCGTAGTGAAGGGCGAGCTGAATGTGTGCATGCAAGAAGCTACTCTAGCTGTGGCGCACTGTAGATGACGCCATACCTTTGCAACCGTTGCTTGGACACATCAAGCTCGACGGGCTTACTTGCCGCTGCTGGTTTCGATCGATAGAATTCCATGATGCAGGGAGACTGCACGGTGGCCCTTCGCACTTCAATGCATGTCCATCCCGTTGTGCCACAGTGATTCAAGCAGGTGCCCTTTCGGCCACTACCAGGATCAATGGGCTGGCAGCCAGTGCTTCTTGTGGCTTGGAAGCACGTATTCGAGGCGGGGACGGGCGTTGGAGGCCTTAGAAGTTGTTTCACGGCAACTTCGAAGGCCCCGCGGGTTCTAGGGTTGAGGATTCTGAGGCTTGGGAAGTCGGCAGCTCCAGAACATCCGTCTTGTTGTAGGTTGCCATCGGCCTGGCACCAAGCTTTTGCAAAGGAGCGGCTTTATGCAGCCCTGGTAGTGCCACTGCAATCTAAACGGTTCTGCAAGAGTGGGCTCCACGTAGATTGCATCCACTGGACACATTAGAAGCATACTGCCTACGGATGTTCCGACAAGCAGCCACGCCATACAGGAAGTAGGCCAAGCACGTGGCTGATCGACAGCTCTGCTCCAGTTAGCAGTGCTTTTCTAGCTGTAGGGCACGATCGTTCGGATTAACGGGGAATGGAGTCTTCTTTACCAGCACTTCGTAATGCCCCGTATTTATCCCAAGGTGCCCTGAGGGCGCCACCTGTGCGCCCAACGCGACGGATGCGCCGGTGGCGAATTATGGCTGCCAGATTGCATGAAAGAGCGTTTCTGCGGCACAATTTCGAAGTTCATGGTGACGCTGATGTCAGGTGTTGATTGCTGTGCCGATGTACCCCAGATTAGTGTGAGACATGTTGACAATGTTGATACTTCATGATACCTGCTTCGCCTAAGCCAAAGCATTGGAATGACGACCCTGCTCTTGAGCCCAAGGGTATTCGCACGCCACGGCAAGATGGGGCTTAGGGTTTAGTTGTTACATAGGGTTTAGAGACCTTCAGGAAATAGCGGACCCTAGCTCAGACCCCAAATATTCCCAAGTAGCCAGATTGTTGTAAGGGTCTGCGAAATAACCTGCAGCGCGGGGTTCCAGAAGCCAGTCTGTGGGCTAAGGGTAAGGGTTCAGGAGTTTATGGCGACGTGTTTAAGATTTTAAGAGTTTAGGGCTTCGTGCTTCAACGTAAGGTTTAGGGTCTAGTCTTCTCAGCTTAAGTTGCTAGAAAGCTCGTGATCCTCAAAACAAAGCTCAGCTTGGCGAAGGTTGGTTCCTCGAGAACAGGGAGACTGCTCTTCCTGCGACTACTGGCAAAATAGTATAGTAAAGCATGATGTAATAGAAAAGAATAGCATTTAATATATTGTCATACAATGTGTTACAATGTGTAAAATAAGTATAATGTAGAATATAATGTAATCCTTTATACCATATGTTGTTATAGTTTGCAATATCGAACAGTTAGAAATATTTAACACACAATATACGAATAATACAATAATAATGTTTCAAATGTTCTATATATTACACTATACTATACTATATTCCAGCATATCTGTGCATATGATGTTGTTTACATAGTATATAGTTTAAAGCACAAACCATATTGTAGTTAGTATATAGTAGTATATAAAATGCAAAACACATTTTTCGCGCATAGCAGATAACATATAACATATAGTCATGACTCGTATAACAATATATAAGTATATATGTGTACGTATGTATGTGTGTATGCATGCATGCATGCATGCATGCATGCATGCATGCATGCATGTATGTATGTATGTATGTATGTATCATATACACATGTTCACATAATATACCTATAGATACATATACCAGGTATATATACATATACATAAACTACATGCTATATAATACAGACTATTTAGCTTGTATTTTAGAGTTTATGGTGAATAATATACAATGTAAGATATAGTATACAGTACATAGTTCTTGTTATAGAGTTTACAGTATATAACCTACATTTTCAAGTTTATAGTATATAGTTTATACGATATTGACGATTTAACAGATAGTTTAAGACTTAACAGATAAATTGTAGTAGATATGGTATAAGGCTTACATTGTTTGTGTAATATATATATATATATATATACACAACAAGAATATATATATATATATATGTGTATATATATATATAATATACATATATATATATATATAACATACATATATATATATATATATATAGATAGAATACATGCTATTTAACATATAGTACAGAGCATATAAATAGTACTATATATATGTATGTTTATATATATATATAGACATAGCATATAATTTCAATTAGCTTCTACATAACATATACTCTATAACGCATACCTTATGTTATATATTGTCTAGTATCTACATAATACATAACATGAAAGACTTAATGATTAGAATGGGGTTCTGGGTTTTTTCTGTCATATTGACACTTTAGACGTGCTGATAGGCTTTAATCTCGGAACTACCCTAGATATGCCTTCAGAAAGGGCTCCGGAGGGTGTTCTGCCACCCCGCCGGATCCCTTCATAAAAGACATATGAGGATTCCGGTCGAAAAATGCGCACTTTTTCGGTTTTTTCTCTTCTCCGCCTACCGTAAACCCGATGGGAACCTCCCCCCCGAATTCTGTTCCAAACTGAGGTCGGCCCTAGCCGCGCTCCGCGTACGCTTTTGTGAGAGGTGCCCATCGGGTTTACTGTAGGCGGAGAGGACGAAACAACCGAAAATATGCGCTTTTTTTGCTCGGAATTCTAATAAGGGATCCGAGGGGGTGGCAAACCCCCCCAGGGAGCCCTTTCTGAAGCCATGTTTAGGGAAATTCCGAGATGAAAGCCTTCCCCCAAGTCTGGGAAACCGAGGCCCCGGCAAGTGTTTTGCGTCAGACTGGTAAGTTCGATGGGAATCCCAAGACATAGCACTGGTAAATACTCCGACCTCCAATGTTATTCGAGGGATGCCAGGGGCTGTGGGTCACGCAGGATTATGATATAAGGTTTTTAGGGTTCAGGGTGCAGGGTGAAACCCTAAACCCTGAACCCTAAAACCCTAAAGCCCTAAAACCCTGCCACGAAGTCTCCACGAGGAACTTTGCGCTCTTCAACAGTGCGTCTGCCTGCTCGATCCTTCCTGGTGGAGGGCTCTACACATTCCCTACATCTGACCTTTGGAGTCGCAGTTAACTGGTTCACAGTTTAGGGTTGCTAGGGTGACCTGCGCTATCAAGACTACTAGCCCGGTACCTCCCATTCGCCGGGACGCCTACTCCGCGTGACATTGGTGGCAGCGACTGTTATGTTCTTATCTGCGGAGAGTTTACATCTTGTAACTCATATATATATATATATATTCTGTTTGGTATTTTACATCGCATATAATATATAGTATGTATTATCGAATATCTAACATAACATAGAAGCTTCAACATGTCGAAGATTTAACATAGAGAAATCGAATATATCCAACGTCCCGGAAGTCCGAGGACTTGAGCGGCTGGAGACTCAGGAGTTGGAGCAGCCGCCTAGTGCAGGGATACGGTGGTGAGGATCGAGTCTTGCTGTATCCGGAGCTGAAGAGACCCGAGGTGTAGGGTTTATAGGGTTTAGGGGTTTGGGGTTTAGGGTTGAGGGGTTTAGGGTCTAGTTTTAAGGGTTTATAGGGTTTAGGGGTTAACCACGTTAACCACCCTAAACCCGTAAACCGTAACAGCAGAAACCCGAATCCAGAAACCTTACAACAATCGCCGTAGCAGAGCCCTAAACCTTAACTGCGCGCTCTACTTGCTAAGGCTGGGATGCCACCAAGCAGATACCTTTTTGGAACCTTTATCGCTGCAAGCCTGCGGAGATCTGCCCCTGGGTCCGAAACGGTTTAGGTTTAGGGATTGGGAGAGAGAGTGAGAGAGAGAGATACATATGTGTATATCTCTATTATTATCATGTATATAAAATGTGAAATGTATGTGACCCGACACCCAAGACCTGCTACTACCAGTCCTGTTATTGTTATCTACTGCTGCTTCAAAGGAACAACATCCTTCTCCTTGTCGCTGTTAGTATCATCATCATGTTGCCGTTTCAATCTAATTCTAGCGGCATCAGTTCTGCTAACCCTAAACCCTAAACCCTAAACCCTAAACCCTAAACCCTAAACCCTAAACCCAGTCTGCTTCCGGTCGCATCCCAGGCCTGGGGGGCAACATCTGCGCCGAGGGCCACCAAGGTGAGCACTGCGCCAGCTGCATCTGGGTTGCTGTTCAGGAACTTGATGCAACTTTCCATAAGGATCTAGAAGGGTTCTATAAGGGTCCTATACGGGTTTAGGGTATATGTACAGGTATTTGTATTTTTGTATATTAAATATTATGGGGTTTCCTGACTATAGTAACTTGAATTCAGTTCCTCAACAGCAACCCAGGCAAAGCAGGATACAGCCGCTACCTGCCGCTCGCCGTGCAGGAAGTTCTTGACTTGGTCAGGTTGCATCCGCACGGAGTTTAGGCCTTAAGCCCTAAGCCCTAAATCTTAAACCGAAAGCCTTTAAACCCGACAGCTGGAGGGTACCTGTGACTTTCGAACAATCCTTGCACGCTCACACAGGGCCTCCGCCCGTTTGGAGTCCTTTGCACTTTTTTTGGAGTCCTGTAATTCTAGAAGGCTTAACAAACCCTGAAAGCCTCAATCTATCAAGTCCCTAAGCCCGAGACACCCCTTCCCAAAAAGCAAAAACTGAAAAATAGCCCAAAACCCTAAGTCCAAATCGCCGCCGAGCTCATCAGTGCGGGAATCGTCAGCTGAGCATGTCTTCAGAATTTATTTCGCGTCACGTAGACTCGCGCCACAAGGGAAGAAAGTCCAAAACGCCTTCTGCCTTTGCTCTCAGGCGCTTCACCCAGGTTTGTGAGGCCCAGCCTGGGGAACCGAGGGAGTGGCCGACTGGGCTCTGCCCAGAGAGCCCAATACCCCTTAATTAGGGGAATAGACCTTAAATCATAATATTAAGGCCCCTATAATTTAAGGTATATTTTATCTAAGCTCTGAAGACATGTGGGCTATGGTTTCTAGTATAAGAGGAGGGCTCTTGACGGCCGTGAAGGTGACGACACGACGACGCTGCGACGACGGTACGGCGGCGATGCGACAACTGACCGGCGACGGTGTGACGACGACAGGGACGACGATGCGACA